CTGCCCTTTCTCTACGGAGCACAGAGTTAAGGCACTCGTTTCCTCTTTCTGTTATAGCTCAGTGGCTTGGAATGCCCAGCTCTGGAGCCAGGGGCTAGGGTCCAAATCCCCACAGTGTCTGTGGCTAAGATCTTACAGAGTATGTGTGGCTGATGGATTACAGGCCCTTGAGCAAACTCTGCAATCCCATGGCAAGCCTGATAAACCACTTTGGAGTGTCTTACACCTAGAAAACCTGGGGGGGGTGGTGGGGTTACCCTAATCTGAGATGTACTTGATGGCATACAATAATAATTATTCTTCCTCTTTCTGATGTTAATCTTCAAAACAGCCTTCTGACTTAGAATAAGCCAAGAGCTTGTGACTGGTATAAGATCACCCAGTAGGCTTCAGGATTTGAACCCGGGTCTTCATAGACTTAGTTTAAAATTCTAAGCACTACCGTGGCACTCATTTAACCTCCAAACTGCTTTGGAAATGCTTCCAATTCTAAATGTTACATCTTCAAGAGAAACAGCAAGTCGATCAGCAAGCGAACACTGTGCCCATGGAGGCACTCTCTGCTCGCTTTTCCTGAGTTCTTTTTCATCTTCGTACATTATGAACTTAAAGATTGGTTCTGAAATGGGTAGCAATGAATTATTCCAAAGGGATGAACATGGCGGCACGTTCCCCATTTATTTTATAATACCCCTGTAAAGGCTAATCTCCTGCCAATTGGGGCAGCTAAATGAGTTCTTCTGGGCAGGCCACAAAGCAACCTGAATCTCTAGCATTCCCTTTCATTCAGTTAGGTGAACAACTGGAAAAAAAAAACATAACGCACTTCAGGGCGGCTGCATTCTTCTGACACAGGCCCACAGGCCCATCTGTTCCACAGCAGTCGTTCTCAAAAACAAATTCTTAAGGACACACACTTCCTATGAAACACAAGATTATAGGTTTGGCACACCACCGACAAACAGTGTCCATCATGAATTTGGTGCCGTGTTTGATTATCAAAACAATATTATCTGTAGCTGAAGCTGATCTTGCAAATGATGTCCTTTAACTTTGAAACTCTTCCTGGAACCGAAAGAGGAGCCTCGGGGCTGCATCAGGCCTAAGGCCCTTCTCCCGTTTACCCAGATCTGTAACAGGACAGGAGGGCCCTTTCAATACCTGGAAAAGGAGATGACAGAAATAAAAAGGACAGTAAGGGAAGACATTAGAAAAAGGTGCACGGGACAGGATGTGGAGAGAGCAGTAAAGCTGCTCAGAATTTTCTTGGTGTGCTAAGATGAATGAATAAGACAAGAACTCAAAACTCACCAAATGCAGAATACTAGAATGCTTTACTGATTGTCGAAACAAGAATTGCAGTATGTAAAGCTGATCACTCCTGGTCACATAAATGGGAAAATGATTTTAGAAAAAAGAATTTCTTGGCCGGAAAACTTTGGAGACTGGGTTGAGTGCAGCACAGTGTCCGTGATTAGAGCTGCCATGTTGAAGGGCGGTGTAGCTTTGAGAAACTTCCCCCTTACGTAGGAGAAGAACAAGAAGAAATGTTTAAGAAGGAGAAAGGGGATTCTCTCCCTCGTTCACCCTACGAGGACTTGGTCAAGCTGTCCAGAAATTCTAGGAGCTTTAAAGGACAAAGAGTCATCGCATGGTTGACAGATGGCTTTACAAGGAGTCGGGCAAATTCTGGGAATTCAGCTCAAAAATCTGCTGAAAAACAAAGGGGGGAAATATAACTCCTGAAGGGGATCCCCTAGCAAGTTCCTAACAGCACTTCCAAAGGAGAAACTGGTTCCAAGGATGTAGCTTTTCCACGAAGTCAGCTGAGCAGAAATCCCTGCAAATGTTGCTCTTCTTTGTGCTGATGCATGACAGACCGTGACCCAAAAGGGGTGGAAATTTGGTCCGGTCAGGAAGCCTCCTTAGGTGACGCTCCATTGGTGGGGTGCAAGTCCTTATGGAGCAGGCATTAATCCCCTTTGATGGCCATGTCATAAAAGAAGATGTTTTATGCCTTATTTCACTTAAAGCCTTTTATTCTCCTCCCATGGGAACCTGCTTGTCCCTCCTTACATCAGTTTAATTGCTGGTGCCTAAATCGTCAAAGGAAAAACTAAAGCAGAGAAGTGGAGGGGAAAAAATCCTCCGAAATTAGGAACTAGAATTCAATTATCCAATTGTTTCTTGTTATATTTAGGTGCTAGTTTACCAGTCCCCGTCAAGAGACACTTCCTTTCTTTCTGTTGTGCTTAACAAGGACTGTGATTCAATCCTGCAGCAATGTTTTGCCCGTCCCTCTGGGGTCTGCAAATGCTCTCAGCTGTTTTATTGTACAGTCCTGAGTCTCTCCTGCTGAATCTCAGGAGAGCAAAAGGCAGAGCGAAGAGCCAAAGGGAGGTTGCAGTCCAGGGAACTCTCAAGAGTCTCCTCCAGCACCACAATTCAAAGGCATCAATTCTTCGGCGGTCAGCCTTCTTTATGGTCCAGCTCTCACTTCCATACAACACTGCAGGAAAAACCATAGCTTTGACTATTCGGACTTTTGTTGGCAAGGTGATGTCTCTGCTTTTTAAGATGCTGTCGAGGTTTGTCTTCGCTTTCCTCCCAAGAAGCAGGCGTCTTTTAATTTCGGGGCTGCTGTCTCCATCTGCAGTGATCATGGAGCCCAAGAAAGTAAAATCTGTCACTGCCTCCATATCTTCCCCTTCTATTTCCCAGGAGGTGATGGGAGTTTAATTGCTGGTGCCTAAATCATCAAAGGAAAAACTAAAGCAGAGAAGTGGAGGGGAAAAAATCCTCCGAAATTAGGAACTAGAATTCAATTATCCAATTGTTTCTTGTTATATTTAGGTGCTAGTTTACCAGTCCCCGTCAAGAGACACTTCCTTTCTTTCTGTTGTGCTTAACAAGGGCTGTGATTCAGTCCTGCAGCAATGTTTTGCCCGTCCCTCTGGGGTCTGCAAATGCTCTCAGCTGTTTTATTGTACAGTCCTGAGTCTCTCCTGCTGAATCTCAGGAGAGCAAAAGGCAGAGCGAAGAGCCAAAGGGAGGAGGGACTCGTTTTCTATTCAGATGGTTTCAATTGTTTACAAAAACCCAAATAAATGAGAAATGCGTGGAGGAGCAGAAAGCAAGCAAGCGGCAAGGTTGAAAAGAAAAGGGGAAAAGGCAGTAACAGCAGACATGATAGCTGTTTACTCAACAGTTACCGTTGTTCCTTTGTAGTTGTTTTTTTTTTTTAATGGATGATGCTGGGTGTTTTAGAACCTCTGCAGGAGAAGGCCAGGTTGCTGCTTGTGGCTGATAATATTTACTTAGAATTGCCATGAAGGTTGATTATGAAAACTGGCTTGCCCAGTTCTGGATTAGACCATGCACAGTCTCGCTGCCGATGGCCGCCAGGTACAGAGGCCTCCCTGTCTTGTTCACGTACTCACCGCCACCCCCATCCGGGCCAGGCAGAGGTGACTCTCTGCTGGTGCATTTAAGTCATTCCAGCCCCCGTGCTCGGTTTTAACTGCGGGCACTGCCGGATGCCTTGATGGGGAGGAGGCCAAGAGACTGCGTCAGTCCCGTCGGTCCCTGAAGGAACAGAATAGCAAACAGCGGCTGTATAAGAAGGTGTTATTCTGCAGAGAAGCCCCGGTGTCTTAGTATAATTATCGCTGGGCATCCATAGCACCTTTAGAACATATGGCTGGATGCTTTTGTGTGTCCCCTGGCTGCATGTGCCCACCGATTGCATGGCATGGATAACACTGGTGATATTCTCTGTACATCCTTCTGAAGGGTAGTATGGACCAGGCAGAAGTTCCTTCTATCTCTTTCCACCCCCACCCCCCTTTTGCTATGGGCTGCTGCTCCAGATGATCATCTGTGCCTCTAAGTTGACTGGGGAAGATGATTCTTCTAAGATGATTCTCCGCTGAGAATCTGCTGAGCCCTCAGGTTGAGCTGTGCTGACGTGGCTGCAAGAGCCAGTTCTGCTCCTTAGAGCTTCTGCTGTCTCTTGTGATGCCAGGTGGATATTTCAGGACTCTTGCATGGCTGCGTCTCAAGTTGTTTCCTGGTTTCTCCTAATGGGAGCGCTTCTCTTCTCTTGATGAACACTTGAGCGTAGTGATGGGCGTCTATAAAATCCTAGGTGACTCCTAGTCCGAGTTGACTACTCATCTTTCTGGCATCATCTGAACTGGCAGTGGGATGGCACTTAGCAACAAGAAGGACAGGCTATTTTTAATTTTATTGACACCAAATCACTTAACATTTCCTCGTTTTTTGTCCATAGAGCAGACTGGTGTTTTATAACATGTATTAAGTTTTAACCAAAAACCTAAGTATCTATCCAATATCAGAGCAAATATGTACAATATTCTGTCCCTAATATTGCCCTTTTTGTAGCTCTGGTGGTGTTATTTCTGAGATGATGTGGATGATGAGTATGATCACAGCTGACGCCCTTTTAAACCAATATGGTTTTCGAAAGACTGCCTGCCGCCTCCTAGGAGTTTCTGCAAGGAATAGGGGCTTTCTCAGCCCCACATGCGCTAGAACCCCCTGCTAAGGGAGACGGCGTTGGTCCCTTTACCTCTCTTACCTATCCGGCAGGCTTTTTAGATAACTGGCTTCCCTTGATGCAGAAAGGACTTTTCATAGTTTGGGTGCTGCCTTCTCTTTTTACTTAATTTGTTTTTAAAGCCATTCTGCTTGTATTCATTTTAAGGTTCAGTGCTTTTTGTACTGTTTAATTCAAAGCTGCTTTGAGCACCACCACCACCCCGGTCAGTGGAGATGAAGAGGATCTGTGCCATCTCTGTTTGCCTGCTGGAGCCTTGCAGTTAATCTTACTCTTCTGTCTAGAACAGAAGGAGAATCTGTGCATTAAAGGGGCAGGTTGATAAGTTAGAGGTCTGTCTGGTCAACCTGTATTTAACAATAAGATCCATGATCTGGTTTCAAACAGCCAGGACCTTAACTTCATCATTTTCTTCTTGCAGAGCTTCCCTTGATCTTGACGCCTTCGGCTGAAGCACAGGTAACATTGCTGAGTGCCTCACGAAAAATACACCATCTCATCACCGCTGCACACCCCCCCAAGACATGACCAAAATTTGCTCAGGAAGAAACAGACGCTGTCTTTAGCTTACCACCAAGTGTCTGCAGATTTTCTTGCTTTGTTTTGTGATTGGTCACTGAGGGGTAAACAGAAGCCTCATTTGCATGGCCGATTGCTCAGGCACAAAGCTCGGTGCGATTGCCATCACCTTCCAGTGACTCACAATCTGTCGTGTTAGGAACTTGGACATCCAGTTGTTCACCTGCAACTGGTGTCTGGAGGTACGCTTAACTGCCTCTGAACTGTGGAGGTCCCTATCATAGCTAGTCATCAGGAAGGTATGCAGCCTTTACAAGTTTCCCAAATCCACTCTTAAAACCACCCAAACCAGTAGCCACAATCCTCTCGCAGGCCAGCATTCTATCGATTAATCACATCCACTGTGGGGAAGTTCGTTCTTTTTCCATATCCTGAAATCTGCTGCCCATAAATGTAATTTCCTGACCCCAGGTCTCTCACCTAATGTTGAGGGCAAGGAGAGAAGAAGGTTTTTCTCTACACTGTGCATAATTTCATAATCTGCAATATCTGTACAATATGTTAAGTGAACTGGCTTTAAAGTGGGCCATTATTCTGAATCTGAATGACCTCCATGTGTCCTTCCACTGAGAAGAGCCCTGAATATCCCTTATTCCTTATTCATATTCACCGCCCCACTTCTGGCTGCCCCAGGCATATCCGTTTGGCCCATGGGAGAGCCGGGAGATGGGACTCGGTCTCCTCTGGTATGGCTGTTCTTGCATTTTTCTTCTCCTTTGGATGTGGATGGGTTTGTGATGCCAAAAGCCGCTCCCTCTTTGATTTCAAGATAGATCCTTGAAAGTTTCCTTCCTTCCTTCCTTCCTTCCTTCCTTCCTTCCTTGCTTCCTTCCTTCCTTCCTTCCTTGCTTCCTTCCTTCCTTCCTTCCTTGCTTCCTTCCTTCCTTCCTTCCTTGCTTCCTTCCTTCCTTCCTTCCTTGCTTCCTTCCTTCCTTCCTTCCTTGCTTCCTTCCTTCCTTCCTTCCTTGCTTCCTTCCTTCCTTCCTTCCTTGCTTCCTTCCTTCCTTCCTTCCTTGCTTCCTTCCTTCCTTCCTTCCTTGCTTCCTTCCTTCCTTCCTTCCTTGCTTCCTTCCTTCCTTCCTTCCTTGCTTCCTTCCTTCCTTCCTTCCTTGCTTCCTTCCTTCCTTCCTTCCTTGCTTCCTTCCTTCCTTCCTTCCTTGCTTCCTTCCTTCCTTCCTTCCTTGCTTCCTTCCTTCCTTCCTTCCTTGCTTCCTTCCTTCCTTCCTTCCTTGCTTCCTTCCTTCCTTCCTTCCTTGCTTCCTTCCTTCCTTCCTTCCTTGCTTCCTTCCTTCCTTCCTTCCTTGCTTCCTTCCTTCCTTCCTTCCTTGCTTCCTTCCTTCCTTCCTTCCTTGCTTCCTTCCTTCCTTCCTTCCTTGCTTCCTTCCTTCCTTCCTTCCTTCCCCTGCCCAAAGCAGATCTAGTCCACCGTCAGTCTGTCTCTCCCCAGGGTGTCTGTTGTCCTGGCAGCTAAGCCCAGGAAAGGATCATCTGAGCCCACTTGCTAATAATTGATGAGCACTTAAGCCCCCACTGACAGGAGGGAGACACATTTACTCACCACCCCAGAGGGGATGTCTCAGAAATGGCACATGTGTGGTCAGGGGGCTGGAGCGGTTTGCTTCCTCATGAGCCAGACGCCCCAAAGGGCCGACAAAAAGGGGTGTGTGTGTCTTGGTGTGGCCTCTTTCTCTGCCTTCTGTTGCACCCTCTGTTTCCAGGGGTCAGAACCAACAATGCAGTGGAGCCTGCTGTTTGAGGGTCAAATGCATTTGTTTTTCCAAGCACCAGGTTTCTTACCTCTGGCAGCGTCAGATGGCCTTGTTCTGGGGTTTGTCACTAGGAGACGGGGACAACATTGTTTAAAGCCTGGGCGTTGATGGTGCAAACAGGACAGCTTTGCAACATTGCCCTTTGGAGGAAAGAGGTTTTATCATTTTCTAATTCTGAAGCTCACCTCTCATCTTGTTTTGCCCCAGATCTTGTCTTATCAAGGGCAACCTTTTCTTCCTTTGTCTTTTTATTTCCTGCATCCTGAAGGTGTCTCCCACCCAGACCTTGTAAATCTAATTTTTTGGACTACAGATCCGGGAGTCCCCAAGCCAGAAACCATGACAGTTGCAGGCGATGCCTTCCACCCAGTTCGACATGCTGGTGCCTGTCTTTTCCTTCTCCTCTCACCCTCCACCCACTTTCCCAACTGGGGGATGAGGCAAGCAAAAGAGTGCAGCCTTCCTTCCTTGCTAAGGCATGGGGGCTCTCTGTTTACAGGAGCTCCCTGGGGTCGCTCACATTCCCTTTGATTTTTTTTTCTGTCGATAATGGAGCCATAGCATACAACACTAAGAAAGAGGAGAGAGAGAGAAAGAATCCTTTTTTTCTGGAAGGAAATAGTGGAGAGAAAAATAAATGCACAGAAAACTTGACCCATCTGTATTGCTGCATTACATTTTTGGAAACCTCTCTGTAATCTGAGTTTTCCTGGGGCCGCAGTGTCTCATAAAAAAAGTAGGAAAGGGTGGGCAAATGCCATGAAATAGTGAGCAGAGGAACGGAATAGAAAACCAAGGTCAATTCGACAGCAGAGAACCAACCCTGGCCACACAAGAAACCCAATGAAAACCAGCAGCAAGATAAGACTGCAAAGTTTTGGAAGCACAAAATAATTTCCAGAAAGGCCCGGGAAAATAAAATCATGCTGATTTTTAACCAATTATTCTGAAAGTGTTGTTTTCACATATGCTTCTGGAAAGAATTTTTATCACGCTGCCTTTCTTGTTTTTGTAAAGCCATCTTGAGCTGTTCAAGGAAAGACCTACTGTATATGTCTTAGGTTTAACCAATAAATAAAGTAGCGAAAAGTCCTTAAAAACAAGCTTAAAGCTGGGAGGAAAAAACCCACAAGCAGACAAAAGAATCACTCTTAAAGCACTGTTAGTGAATTGCTAGTTGTTTTAATCTTTATTATTTCTGACAAAGGGTTTAATTGCTTCTGGTGTCAATACACACCCATTTTAGATGACCTTTAAATGAATGTTCTCAAAATAAGGGGGAGCAGTTGCTGGGGCTTGAAAGGAGCGCCAACCCTTCAGAGCAGGCCTGTTGGCATAACCGTTGGCACTAATGGTCTGCCGCTTTCCAGATGGTGCAGTCGCTGGGCTTTGCGATCTACCGAGCGCTGGACTGGGGTCTGGACGAAAATGAGGAGCGGGAGCTCAGCCCCGAACTGGAGCGCCTCATTGACTTGATGGCCAACAGCGACTCGGAGGACAGTGGCTGCGGCACCGCCGATGAAGGCTACGGCGGGCAAGAGGAGGAGGAGGAGGCAGCGGCGGCGGAGGGGACGGTGCGGGCCGTGCGCACCTTCAGCCAGACCATGCGGCTGTGCGCCATGCGCCTCACTCAGCCCCAGGAAGCGGACGCCCATTACCAGGCGGTCTGCAGGGCGCTCTTCCTGGAGACGGTGGAGCTGAAGGCATTCCTGGCCAAGATCCGGGACACGAAAGAGGTGGGTGCCGCCCCTCTGCCCTGAGAGTTTTAGAACCTTTCGTTTTTTCTTTTCTTTTGCAAGACCCTCAGCTCCGGAAAGCCCAGCCTGACTAAGGGTCCCCGTAAGACCCTGCGACTGGTGTTGACCTTGTGTCCTTGGGACGGGGGTAGGGGATTCTGGGAATGGCAGTCGCAAACCTTGAGGGGGAGAGGGTAGAAGGCTGGGGAGGCATACCCTCTTAGGAAAGCAGAGGAGCAGAGAGAGGAGGAGGAATGGAAAACTGGGTAGCACTGGAAAATGTTACTCTTTTTGGGGGAGGGGGGGAGAGTAGTTTCCAAAATTCCTGCTTAGGGAAGGTCTGGGAGTCATAATCCAAAAAAAGTAACTTCCAGCAATTGGAGTGGGGCAAAAAGCATTGTACAGCTTGAAAGGTGGGTTAATGAGACATTTTCCATGCACCACCACCTGGGGTCTAAATCTGCCGCTCCAAAGCCCTCCACGAGGAGAGGGGGAACAGAATGAACCTCTCTCTTCTCAGCGATGCAAAGACCTTGGCCAGGAGGCATAAATTGTCCTCGGCTTTCCTCCCAGAACCGCCGCCGCTGCTAAAGGGATGGTTTTCTGCCTGAATTGAGCTGCCATCGTGGCATCTTCTGCTCTCACCTGTCGATGCCACCTGTTTCCCAGTTGGCTGCCACCCCTCTGCTGTGGGGAAGCCAGTAATCTTCCAGGCAGAGCTTGGCAAAAAATTGCTTTTGTTGGCCAAGGTGAGCAGGATAGACAGGGAGACCTGGATTATTTGTAACTGGAGTTCCTGGCCATCCCTCCCGTGGTGTTCTTTGGTTGCTAAGTGGTAGGACCCACCCAAAGTCCTTGGAATAGGTCGTGTGAGCATCCTGTCTCTCTAAGCATGGTGTTTTTATGGGCAGTAGCATTCTGGCACAGGGCTCGTGCAACAACGCCCAGGCTCCGAGGAGCACATTCTTGCTGCAGAAAAGGAAGGTGAGAGAAGGCGAGAGGGCTGGCCGCCGGCCACATCCTGATGAGCCACTTCCGCCTCTCCATAGCACCTGGTTTCTCACATGCAGTTCATTAGGGCCCATCCCTCTTCTGTCAATAATAGGTCTTGGCAGATTAGAATCACGGACCTTTCCTTTAACACAGACGGTTCTCGGAAGTATCAGCTTGCAGAGTTTTGGAAAAGCTACTATTTTAGGATAATAGTGCCCATGTTGCTTGGGAGATCTTGGGAAGTATCGTCCAAAAAAGTAACATTTTGAGGCTCTGTGTGTGCGCAATCAGCCTTTGACATTCATGTGGGTTTGCCAGCCAGCACTCTGGTTTGGGGAGGGGGGGTGTTAAAAAGAAACCATTAACTCTGCATCCCAGCAAGGTGTAAACAAATAATTTTAACATCTCTTCTTTTCACGGATGCTGCCTTTTGAATCTCAGAGCTATAAAGGGACACACCATGGCCAACACAACTAGACAGGTTTTTTTTTTAATGTCTGCTGCTTCCTGATTTTTTTCCAAGTTGAAAGGCTCTGAAGAACTTGACCACTTTCAATTATTATTACTATTATCATCATTATTATTGGTCCTATTTTGTGGTCCCAGTGAAAGGTCTCGCTCAGCTCCCACCTGGTTCCTTGGGTTTTCATCCTCTTTCTTGCTGGCCTCAACTTCTTGGGAGTTACCTTTCCCAGCTGCGTAGCCCCACCCAGTAGAACCCCCTTTTGTCCTGTGAGTGGGATGAGGTGGGAGTTTATTTATTTTTATTTATTTTTGGCCATCTGCAAGATCTACATGGCTCCCTGCTTGCCTCCCTGTTGGAGGAGCAAAGGGGAAAAAACAGGCAGTGCCTCCACCTGGCCAGGCAGAAGGAGGTGTAGTATTTCTCCCCCCCCCCAATGAGCTTGGCATTTATCACTAGGGAAGGACCCCTCCCAGTGAAGGCTTGGTGTTAATTAGGACTGCTCCAGCCAAATGTTTGCCCAGGGATTTATCACTAGGGAAGGACCCCTCCCAGCGAAGGCTTGGTGTTAATTAGGACTGCTTCTGTTTACCCAGGGAGGGACTTGTTTTCTCTTGAAACAGACTTCCTGGAGAATCAGGAGAGTTCGTTCCTCTGGAGGAATCAAAATGTAACCAGAAGCCAAACCTGCTCTTCTAGGGGTGGAGATTTAACACCACTATTCAGAAGAGCGCCTTGGCTTAAGTCATAAACCGGACAAGGAGAACACACGGCAGCTCAGGGAATTCTTTAAACTTGGCCCCTTTACCCAACATCACTTTCTCCAGGAGGGCACCTGAGTGAGGTCAAAAGGGCATTCCCCAGCTGTAACACCAGCCCTGCAAGGTAGAGCGCCCTCACCCCTGTTGCCCATCTCAGCCTTGGTCGGTTTTAAGGACTTAATTGTGGTGCTTTGTGTAACTATTCTGTGCACACTGGAATTCTAAATTCTACGCAGACACCTTGGTGTGTGTGTGTATATATATATTGATTTTCCCTGTAAGCATTAAATAAATACCGTATTTTTCGCTCCATAAGACGCACCTTTCCATAAGACGCACCAATTTTTTGTGGGGAAAAAGTGCGTCTTATGGTAAGAAAAATACGGTACTTTCCTGACCCATTGCATCTTCATAGGCCTCCAGGAAGATTACTATGGAAAAAGTCTTCATAGTGTAGAATTTGTTAAAAAACCAAACAAAGAAATGTCACTGCCCGTCTCTAATGTGCGAATCCAGAGGGTTTCTGCCTCTGCTGCCTGGCCTTTTGCAAGCAGGGCGGCTCAAGAGTGGTGATCCCAGTGCTCTGATCTCCTCCTCACTCCAGGTGGTCCAGTGAGCTGAAATGCACGTGCCCACCAACTCTCTCCTGGTTCCCTGGTTCCTCCTGGTTTTGCGTTCTTGGTGTGTGTGTGTGTGTGTGTGTGTGTGTGTGTGTGTGTGTGTGTGTGTGTGTGTGTACCAGTACCGCACAAGCATGCCACGTTTCACCTACCCAAACTGGTCCTGTGCTAAACTGGCAAGCCCTGGTGCCAGCTGGGCTGCCCGGTATACTCTGTGCAAATGGGCAGCCTGGTTTATGTCCTTCCTCCTGCATCTGCAGATGCTGAAAAAGCTGAAGGATGAAGATGAAGAGCTGAAGGACCGATCGGCGGCAGATCTGGATAACCTGAGGAACACGGACTGGGTATGGAGTGGGGCCGGTTAGCTGTGGGTTCTTGGATCTCCCGACTGGCCTTGCGGCCGGTATGAAGTTTTACAGGATTTGACAGCCTCCGCAGAGGTAACGTCTTCCATAGTCCCCAAGGCTTATTGTGAGAAGAAGCACATTTTTGTGAGCCTTAAAGGAGAGCATTTGAGAGAAACCAGCTCCTCCCCAAAGCGTGTGCCCGTTTAAAAATGAAAGGCACCGTTCGTGATCCTGCTTCTCTGCCTGCCGCAGGCTCGGCTCTGGGTCCAGTTGATGCGGGACCTCCGGAATGGCGTGAAGCTCAAAAAGGTGCAGGAGAAGCAGTTCAACCCCTTGCCCACCGAGTACCAGCTGACGCCGTTTGAGATGCTGATGCAGGACATCCGGGCGCGCAATTACAAGCTCCGGAAGGTCATGGTAAGCAGTGGGGCTGAGGGAGGCTCTTCTGGCAGCTGGGTCTCGGGCGTCAGCTGGAGGCCCCCCGGGAACCGCTCTGCTTCTCCAGGGCTTCTGGTGGAAGCAGGACTGGCACAGGAAGCAGCCTGGATGAACGGCTGGATGGCTCAGTGCCTTAGGCTCCTGGCTGCAGAGCCAGAGGTTGGCAGTTCGATTCCCCCCGCCCCCAACTGGGCCTCCTTGACAGAGGCTGGACTGCCCACAACAGCTAACATTAAAATATACATGTCAGTCTTTAAGGTGTCCCATGTTTTTGTCTTTTTCTTGCTCTTGTCTTGTTTTGTTTCTTTGGATTTTGACCGATTTGCTCACGCAGACAAACACGGCGACCTCTTTTAAATCAAAGTAATCGTGTTTGCCAAGGAGTTTTCATGACAATGGTTAAGCAGAATCACATTTCAAGAGTGTTCAATGGCCTTTGCAGTTTTGAAATAGCAATTCTTCATTTTTGGGGCGGGTTCTCTCTCGCCAGGTGGATGGTGACATTCCTCCCAGGGTGAAGAAGGATGCCCATGAACTCATCCTTGACTTCATCAGATCAAGGCCGCCCTTGAGACAGGTAAACCCAGCCTCTGACTTTGTTACCCTCCCCAAAAACAATGGGGGAAGGAGGGTCGTTGTAAAAAGCCCTCTTTGTGTTGCATCTGCAACATAAACTTGCATACAGTTTTAGAAGCAGGAGAAATCAACATCACGAAGGCGTAAAGCTCCGTGTCTTTCTGTTTCCCTGATTTGATTTTTATTTCTCCCCTTTCTCCAAAATGTGGGGCTCAAGGCAGATCCCATTAAGATGGAAAGATGCAGGTAAAAGGTGAGGGGGTCATTTTGCTCCCATCAGCTCCCCCAGCAAATCTCAGTGCTTGGACAGGGGTATACAGAGAGGGGCTCGCTTTTTGATATCAAGGTCCCGGGCTGTTTAAGGGCTTTAAATGTGATCACCAACACCTTGTATTCAGACCAGAAATGTTACTGGTCATCCATAACAATTCCTTTAGAACCAGTGGCCGCCCTGCTGCCCACTGCACTTTTCTCTGGGCTTGGTGCTGTCTTCAAGGGTGGCCCCACGTCTAGTTCTTTTGCATGTGAAAAAGGGTGGCTCTCCAACCATGTTGCAGGCTTCAGAGCGGAGGCTGCGGCCTATGCCTCAGAAGCAGAGGACGCTCCACGAGAAGATTTTGGAGGAGATCAAGCAGGAGCGGAAACTTCGGCCCGTCGAGATGCGGTACCAGAATCAGAAAGGTAAGTCTGCAGCCTCAGGGGGGGGGTCTTCGCTAAAGGGGACCCCAAGGCTCAGTCAGGAGTGGCAAACGTGCCTGAGATTTCAGGAGGGAACCTCCAGAATCCCAGTTGAGGCCTCGGGATTCTCAAAACTCTGGGGTCCATGAGGTGGCCCCGTTTGTGGCACCCGGTAATCTTAGCAAGTAATATTGGGAAAGGCGGAAGGCAGCAGGAAAAGAGGAAGACCCAATATGAGATGGATTGATTCCCTAAAAGATGCCACAGGCTTGAGTTTGCAAGACTTGAGGAGAGCAGTTGAAAACAGGAGATTTCAGAGATCACTCAGTCATAAGGGTTGACATAAATCAGAGGCGACTTGACAGCATATAACAACCACAACTGCATTTTTGGATCACAGCTCCCAGGATCCCCTAGGTAGCAAGGCTGGCGGCTGTGATGGCTGGTGGATTCTGGGATCTGAGCTGGGATTAGAGCTAACCAGCTGCCTCCTGACAGAAGCGCCCCCTGTATTCCGGTTCTTGCTTTTATGAAATAAAAGAGGAGGGGAGGGATGGAGAAAACCCATATCAGAGTTTCCCCTCTCCCCTCGTTCCCCATAGAAGAAGGTGCTTTGCTTCCGGCAGTCAGTCTCAGCACCGTTCTCTTGTTCTTCCAGGGTTTGGTTCCGTCCCGTGCCTGGTGAAGGCCTGCTCCGGTGACGCCAAGTCCACCTCCTGCATCAACCTCTCGGTCCCGGAATCGGGCGTTCCCCCACAACGCCAGAGGCCTCGGGTCCTGCTGAAGGCTCCCACGCTGGCCGAGATGGAGGAAATGCTCACCTCCGAAGTAAGAGGACCGGGGCGCCGCCTCCGAGCGGGCGGCACCTTCCGGAGGAAGGCAGGGCTGGGAACCGCCAAACTCTCCTGTTCGGCCGATAAACGAACTGGCAGAAATCGCCAAGTGGGCAGTTTCGTGCCCATCTGGACCCACGTGCGTTCATGCGCTCTCTCGTCCTTCCCCAGGAGGAAGACTCCCCCAGCTCGGAGCCTCTGCAGGAACCGGCTCCGCTGGGCCCTCTGAAACGTGACCGCTCCTTCTCGGAGCAAGACCTGGCCCAGTTTCAGGATGAAAGTGACCGTGGCGGACCGCCAGACCCGGAGCACTCGGGACCCAGCGGGTCTGAGCCGAGACCCCGCTCAGGTACCACGACCCCTGCATGGACCAGCATGGAAAGCCCGGGCAAGTGCACCTTTCTCCCCCTACCTTCCGCTCCCACCCCACCCCCACCCCCACCCCCAACCTCTCTCTTCCAGAACTAACCGGACTTCAGCTGGGATGGACGTGCTTCTCGAATGCCCAATTCTTTCCCAAAACTGGTCCCCTTTCCTCCTCCAGTGGAACTAAGGCGACTGCCAAGAGGACACCCTTTACCCCCCCCAGCAACCTCCCTCCCTGGGTTAGCATTTCCCCACCACCACCACCACCGGCAGCTTGCACCCTCCCGTGTAACACCAGAGCAAAGGGCTAAAGCAAACGGACACAAAGCACCCTCTGAAAAATCTGTCGCTGCAGTGCTGTTGCTTCACCTGGAATATTTGCAAAGCCAAGCCAAGCCGAGGCTGGGAACAGAACTTCCAAACCTTAGCACTCAAGTCAACATGCGAAGGGCTCCAGATTTGTTAGCATGCAACCTAGAGAACAGTCGTGTGAAATGACTATTTCATTAAATCCAGAAACAAAGCCTTTTCAGCTACCAGGAATTACCCAGTGACAAATTAAAGCAGCAAGGAATGGTTGCTGGTTGCAATTTTGATTGAATTAGGATGAAAAGAAATATTTAACAAGGCATTCAAGAGAGAGAAAATGGACAAACATCTGTTGGATGTGCTTTGGTCTGAATTCCTGCCTTGAGCAGGGGGTTGGGCTGGATGGCCTTTTAGAGGACCCTTCCAACTCCATGGTCCTAGGTTCCTATGTGGTTTCCAACCTCTGCCCACAAGCAGGATCGTTCCCCTCGGCTACCGTGAGCCTTACATCGACCACCATGGATAGCTGGGGCCGACGGTCTCTCTTCCTACGCTGTCCCAGGACAGTGCTGACTCTCCTCGTGTGCCTTCTGTTCTCCTTCAGGTTCAGTTCCGGCGAGCTACCACCAAAGCCCTTATGGTGCCAGTCCTTTCTCCCCGAAACAGGGCTTCCTCACTTCCGTGGATGAGAAGTTGGAAGCCAGCTCGGGTCCCGCTCCTCCAGATGCCAATTTGAAACACTTATGGCTGGTAAGGAGTCCAGAAAGGCAGCAGGTGGTCAAGGGATGTGGGGGAGGATTTGGGTTCTTAGCTGGCTCGCCCCAGACCCGAATTGGTCCAAGAGGTTGGCAGCCTGGAAAATAAATGTGGACAGCGGCAGGAAGAGGATTGTGTGTCTCTCAGAGGACCACACTCTGCTCTAAAGATAGCCTGTCATGAGAACAGGGAATCCCTGAAGTGCTGAAGACCATCTGATGGTCACAGCTGTTTGTACCTCCTGCAGTTTGCAATTTGACTTGCTTCCTTTTGTGATTGGTCGTTGGGAGGTAAACACGGGCTTCTTTTGCAAGTGTGCTTGCTCAGTCACGGAAGTGTGTTAGGAGCGGCTCTCAAAAACTAACTTCCCAAACTTTGCTGGTCTCTGATTGAGGGGCTATAGAGAACAGCTGCCAGGTGTCCAGGCATGCCCCAGATCCTCAGCCCCCTCACCCCACTTTCCTTTCCTCTCCAGCAAGAGTTCAGCCACCCCGTCGAAAGCCTGGCACTCACTGTAGAGGAAATGATCAACGTGCGCCGGGTGCTGGTGAAAGCAGAGATGGAAAAATTCTTGCACAGCAAAGAGCTTTACAGCAGCCTGAAGAAGGGGAAGGTGCGTGTGTCAGGATGATGCCCCGGGGTACCCTGCTGGAGGGATGTTTCTGGGGGCAGGAGAGCTGTTTTGATGCCAGGTGCCTCTTTTTTCTCTGTTTCTTAGATCTGTTGCTGCTGCAAAACCAAGTTTGCTCTCTTTTCCTGGCCTCCTGCTTGCCTTTTCTGCAAAAGGTGAGCAAGTTTGGAGATTCTGGGGAGAGAGGGGTTGGACTCCAGGTGTGCTGTGGACGGACAGATTCTGACCCTTTTGTCTTGTCGGCTTCTTCCCTTCTAGATCTGTCTGTAGCTCCTGCAGCTTGAAGGTAAGAGCCTTCCTCTTGACTCTTCCGGCCAGCTAAAACACAAAAGAAAGGGATGGTCAGCCCTTAGCTTCCTAAAAAAAAAAAGATACTTAAAGCAACTAGAAGGCATGCTTGACAAGGCCTTTCCCCTGCCAATCTTCTGTTTTCCAATTTGGTGCTGAGATGCAGCTGTGTGGTTTTCAAGGCTGCTCAGCAAGAGCTACGGAAATACGAGCTTGCGGGCCAAATACCGCCAGTTGTTCTTTCGTGCTGACTTACGATGACCCGAGGAACGAGTGACCTCCAACATGTCCTTCCTCAATGGCCTTGCAAAGCTCTTGTGAACCCAAGGTTGTGGCTTCTTTGAGGGAGTTGATCCATCTCCGATTTGGTCTTCCTCTTTTCCTGCTGCCTTTCCCAGCCTGATGGTCTTTTCCAGAGAATCCTGCCTTCTCATGAGGTGCCCCAAGTCAGAAAGCCTCCATTCCAACCTTTTTTTCCCCTCCAGAGAGAGTCTCCAGGCTTGATTCCCTCTGCAACCCACTTCTTTGTCTTTCTGGCCGTCCAGGATATTTGCAAAGCTATCCTCCATATAGACTAAAGACCCCTACAGGTCCACCCATCCACCACCACCTCCGGTATCCTTAAAATGTCCCCTTGCCTGTTCAAGTTTGCAGGCCTGACCTCAGGGGTGCGTCTTCCTCCCATGGAGGCTCTTCATTTTTCCCTCTGCTGAACCCCCCCTTTTTATTATTATTTTACAGATCAAGATGCCTTCAAAAAAGCTCGCCCACATCCCTGTTTACGCCCTGGGCTTTGAGACCCTGCCAGGCTCGTTGGGAGCCAAAGCACCCACGTTCCGGAGACGGGAAGCTTTCCAGTAAGTCCTGGTGCAACACACACACACACCCTTTTCTTTAAACCCTTCTCGTCCTCGTCCTCCTCCTCCTGGCTCCAGTGGATACGGCCGCTGTGGTTTCCTTCCTTCCTGGCAAAGCAGCCTTGAGGGTAACAAACAGGATGTTTCTCTGCTACTGAACGGAAAGGGTGCTGGTTTGGCACTTTCAGTGGCATTTTTTGGGGGGGGGCAGGCAAAGGGCCTTTCTCAGGGGTCCCCCTCTCCTCTCCCTTCCCAGCTCCCTGCAGGGCACCCACTGGCGCAGCGTGGAGGAGGACTTCCCCTACATCTACGCCCACGGCTCGGTGCTCAAGGACGTTTGCAGCGACTGTTCCGGGTTCGTCACGGACGTGGTCAGCTCCAGCCGCAAGAGCATGGACATCCTGAACACAACGCCCTGCCGGAGGAGTCGCAAGACCCAGTCGCTCTACATCCCCTCCAGCTAGACAGGACACGGCAGCCTCCATCCTTCTCCCCCCACACACACACACACACGCCTGCCCGCCCGTCCTGCACCAAGTCCACAGCGGCCGATCTCTGTCTTCTCCGCTCCAGGCAAGGGGCGGGTTGCCGACTCTCTCTCTCGATTTCTGGCCAAGAGTGAATCGTCTGACGGTTTGCGTGGACTTCCTGGGGGGGAAGAGAAGAGGGTCACCCATCGGCTTTCTTGCTTAACTTGCATCAGCTCCAACATTGAGCCTCCGTGGCCCCTGCCTCCCACAAACGCACCCCCCCCGGCTGTGTGTGTACATATATACATACCTATAGAGACTCTATATTTATATCTGTGGATCAGCTGCTTGAAGCTGATGGGCTAAGTTTGGGAACAGAACGGTAGCTGCTGCCAGATGAGGACTCCAAGAGAGGGACCCTGTGCACCCCCCACACACACACACACACATCCTGTGCACCCCCCCACACACACACACACACGCAGGGACATAGCAGTCTATTCCTCTACCCACTTCCCTTAGACTATATGCAAGCCAGAGGGGAAATACTTCCCAGCCGACTGGGCTGTGTCAAGCCGTCCCTGTCGCAGTGGCAAAACATAGAAAGAGGGGCCGTGCAGACCACCCTCCGTGGCCAGCAGCGCCCACGAGGGTGGATTCAGTCCTTCCAGGTAGCCCAGCAAAACACCATAGCTGAAAAAACATAATTTTTTCAGACTTCAGTTTCAAGAATTCCCTATCCAGCCTGTCCGATCTGGCTCAGGGCTTCCATATTCCAAAAAGAGCTTTTTCTAAGCTCTGCCTAAAGGATGGCGCCAACTGTTCCTCGCGAAGTTGTTTGGAGGGTGGGCAGGGGGCAGGAATCAGGGCCCCCACAGAGCAAGCTGTTCAGGGCTGGTCTTGCTTCCTACAGGGAACCTCTCCCCTCTCCTCCTCACTGTTTCTCCCCCCCTCCCTGCCAGACGCCCCGTGGTGTCCCAGTGATCTGCTGTTCTCCCACCTCTGAGCAGGAGAGGCGTTTAAAACCTCTTCTCCACACTCCTTTCATTTTGTTAAGACAAAGGAGGGATGTCCCCCCCCTTCCTCCGCATAAACAGAGAAACACATTTTACTTGTACAATGTATAATAAAATACTTTGTTTTTGTAAGCATTTAGATGGCAAGTGGGCAGTGGCTGGGCCTCGTGGGGCCTATGATCAGCAGCCAGGGTGACCCCTGGAGTCTTGCCCACAAGGGGGGTGTCGGGCAAGGCATCTTCGTCATGGCCCCTTTCAGTGATAGGATCAGCTGGTCGTCTCTACCCGCCAAGATACATCTGAGTTTGGAAAAATAGATACAAACCCCACTACCGCCCTCCTGGCCATGCTGGTTAGGGGGTGTCTTGAGAGTCGGTTGCCAAAAGCGGTGTTTTTTCTTGGCTCCAGGGTTCTCCCCCCCCCCCCGTTGCTACCCTCCTCTGGGAGTGGAGAGAGAGAGAGAGAGAGGAGACGATTCCCTTGCTGCCGACTGCATTTCTCCTCTGAGGACAGAATTGAGTTCAGTTCATGAACAGCAAGAGACGACGGGTCTTGTCCAGATGCCCGGAAGCCAGCCGGTTCCTCTCAAGGGTCGTTGAGGAGAGTCAGGGAAGGGAAGGGATGCTCAAAGGTCTTCTGACACCTGTTGAGCCCTTCCATCGTCACAACAGGCTTGGGGGGGAAAGGTCCTGTGTTTTTCCCCCAGCTTGCCTTAAGGGTGACTATTTCCAAAAGACGGACTCCTCTCCTAACTGGCTGAGGCTGCTTCAAAGTCAAGAATTTGCCAGGGCACCAAATGCCCGTTGGCACACTGATTAGGCAGGCACGTTGGGTGGTGGAGTGTGGTTCAAGCAAGGGTGCCACTGGAGGGAAGATGGCCTGGCTGACCTGCTTTGTAGTGACCCCGGTTCAGCTGAGGCACTGGCAGGCCATCCCTTCTCTTCTCCCCATCTTTGTACAGCTTTTTTCCCCCCTCTCAACAACCAGTGGTGAAAAACCTGGCCTTGAGCCACTGAGAGCGCAAGAAAGCAAGCAAAAAGGGTGTGCAAGGGACAGGTGTCCAGTCTTCCACCAAGGGACCAGTTAGTCTTCCCGCAAAACCTGGAGGCACTTGGTATTATCTGAGTTAATTTAAGACTGTGTAAGCTGCTAGGGACAGGAGGTCCCCCTGCAGATAAAGACAGAGACTTAGAGGCGCCTTAAAGATGCAACAGGACTCTTGGCTGTGCTCTGTAGCTTTCAGCATCTTCTCAGTCCTCCTGTATCGCATATCAACCCATAGAGGCTAACCTGGCCAGCCACAACTTTTCACATGAAGCTCATGCCCTAGCTCAAATAGGTAAAACTCACTATGGAACATCCAGTTTTCTTGCCAAGTCTGCAGCCCCACCTTACGAGCTGCTGTCTCCCCTTCTCGCTTAAGGGGGGGGACTTCTCCAAGCGATTCTCCCTGGCGTGCCCCATATTGTGTCCAGCACCGTGGATACATTGCACTACCTGTAAACTACATACCCCTAATGTACGCAGGGAGTGCTTTATATCGGGTGTATGGTTTTATTTGATAGCACACAGCTGGGTATGCAAAGGATCAGTTGTGTAAGCAGTTCCTCTGAAGGGATATCTAATTAGGGCATCTCCAGTGGTGCAGAGATCAGGGCTGATGGGAATGGCAAGACTCCCCATGACGGAGGTTTGCAAGGGAACAGAGCTGGGGAACATTTGGCTGTTCCAGCCCTTGGACTACATCTCCCAGAAACCTCTTGCCCTCGACTAGAGTGGGTGGGACGGATTGGGAATAGTAGACCAGGACACAGGTGGTGCCAAAAGTTCTCTCTCAGGATGAGAGGAAAATCTGAGGGAGGATTAAGGAAGGAAGCCAGGATTTTGGAGGAGGGTTGATTGAGCCAGTTTTCACACACACACACACACACCTTGATGCTGGAGAAAAGAAAATCAACCCAGCTGTCAGAACCGCAGGCGCTTCTTTGCGACTGTGGTCCTCTTTCTGTTGCTGTTTGTGCCAATATCTGTTTGCTCGACTTTCTGCCTCGTCGTGCTGCTGTCTCCGGACTTTTAACATGCCTTACTGGCTCGCTCACCGTTTTTCCAATAACTCACTGCGCTCTGTGTCAAAGCAAGAGAGGGAGCGGGACCCTTGCCCTCTTTCTCATAAGCTCTGCTTGCACCTGCTCTGTCTTAGCCAATGTTTTATATGCAGCCTGTACTGTAAAGAATTGTAAATAAAATCTAAAGCGAACCTGAGCTAGCAGTGTGACTGTTTTCCCTTAATAAAGACATATTTTATAAGAAGAGTCACTCTATAAAAGGTGGGGTTGAAAGTAATGGGGATGGGAATTAATCAGTAGGGATAATCCACAGAAGGGGTGGAAATTTGGTTTTGATGGGGCGATACACAGGAATTTTTGATGCTAGCAGGCAAATACGGATCCTTGCATCCTGCGGATGTTGCTGTATATATATCAGGAGTTTAGCACAGCACACAGGGTCTCTGGACACTGCTTCACCCAAAACAACCATCCTGTGGCAGAAATTAAATGTTGACTTGTGGGAGGTCATCCATGGCTAAAGGTGCAAAAGAGAATCAGCCTGGCACCAAGGCTTGGTCTAGTCCACATTCAGCCACAGAACAAAGAGATCCAGGAAAGATTTAACAGTTCCTTTAATTAAGCTCAATATTTGTCTCAGGGACCAACTCTTACACAGCTAACTCTTCTCTCTCTCTCTCTCTCCTGATGTGTAGCAAAAATGGTTTACGTCTCAGAGGTTGGGAGTTCAATTCCCCTACTGGGCCTCCTTGACAGGGGCCAGACTCGGCTCTCTTCCAGCTCTGCAGTTCTAAGATTATTATATTATTATAAACAAGAAAACAGAAATAAATTCTGTAAATGTAGATCATCTCTATGTCTTAAAATATGTATTTTTAGGCAAACCAGGATCCTCTTTTACACTCCTTTTGGGTGATAAACTTGGTCATCCTAGCCAGAAGCAATTTACTGGGGCAGGAGGAAAGAGGTGCCAGGCCTGAAAAAGCAGCACATATAAGTCCGGCCTGGGCTGATCCTTGCAGGCAAAGATGATGAACAAAAAGTGGCCCAGGGAAATAAGGAACTGCTCAGCAGCTTCAGTCTCTGGCAGCAGAGCTGGAGGCTGGGAGTTCAATTCCACACTGTGCGTTCTTGGTAGGAGCTAGATTTGATGATCTAGAGGGTCCCTTCCAGCCCTGCAGTTCTAAGATGATGATGATGATGTGAAACATCCAAATTAAGGTTCAGTAATTCAGCTGGCTGGATAGCTCAGTGGTTTAGGTGGGGAGTTCGATTCCCCCATTGTGCCTCCTTGGCAGAGACTGGACTTGATCATCCAGAAGGCCCCTTCTAGCATTGCCGTTCTAAGATTATTATATTTTAAGAAGAAACATCATCCTCTCCCGCCAGGCTGAGGCTTCCAAGGACCCAAGAAGCAGACACATCTGCGCACGCGCGAACCACTTCCGTCCACCTCCCAGGACGCTCTGGGCTCCTTCGGAGCATAAAGGCGGCCCTCCTTGCCTCGAGGCGCTTGCGCAGAGGGGAGAAAGCGGAAGGAAGGAGGACGTGGTCCGGAGCGGCCCTCCCCGGTTCTCTTTCGGGTCGGCTCCACGCCGGGCTTCCGGTCCGTCTCTGTTTCCAGCTCGGGTCGGGCAAGCTGCGGGATGTCGCGGCGGGCCTTGAGGCGGCTGAGGGGCGAGTCGCGGGGCCAGGCGCTGCCCGAGGAGGCGGAAGCGGAGGAGGCGCCCTTGGGGGGCCTCGGCGAGGGAGGCGAAGAAGAAGAGGAGGAAGAGGAAGAAGAGGAGGAGGAGGTGCCGTCCCTGCCGGGAGGCGACGCCAAGAAGAGCCTCAGGAGGCGGAGGAGGAGGAGGAGGCCGCCCGGGCAGGAGCCCCTGGGAAGGGTCGCCAACCTCTTCGAACTGGTGAGGGGCCACCGCCACCCCCCCCCGGGCTTGCCCTCCAGCGCTTGGAGACGTTACTTTGGAGGGGGGGACTACAACTCCCATAATCCTGGGAATTGTAGTCCCCCCCCCAAAAAAGGTAGCCTTTCCCAGCTCTGCCCAGGCCTACCCTCCGTGCTGGTTCACCAGATGTTCTTGGCCCCGAACCAGCAGCTGCCCTCTTCTTCCTTATGTATTATTTATTATCCCCCTCTGTTTGAAACTGGTTAGACGGGAAGACTGAAAGAAACTGGGCTTGCTTAGCCTCGAGAAAAGAAGACTGAAGGGACATTTCAGCGGAATATCAGGAAAATGGTCTTAACTGTTCAAGCAGTAGACAGTGAAACCTGTGACTTAAGGGGAGGTGGTGAGTGCTCCAAGAAAGTATTGGAGAACGCTCTGTCCCATCTGCTTCGATTTGGGTTCCTGCATTGAGCAGGCGAATGGATTCAATGGCCTTATAGATCTCTTTCAGTTCCATTATTCTTTGAGTTATTGATTTATTTGATTTATATACTGCCCTGTTAGTGACAAGCGGTATTTTGGGTGGTTTGCAACGAGAAAGAAAACGTGCACTACTAAATAGTGATTGTACAAATTATCTTTTACTTTTGTGTTTCTCTTCTCCCAGTAATAGATGTTGAGGGTAGACTGTCATTGTACATGAGTTCTTCTACTAACTGTTTAGTAAAACGTCGGAACAGCCCCTCTGGGTACACCCTACGTGCAATCCTTTCCCTTAAAAGGTCTCTTATTGGAAATGTTATGATCAAAGTTGAGCCTTTTTACATGCAAGCTATAAACTATTGGCTTTTCCATTACGGGGTCAGTGAATCCATTTGTTTGCATCCTAGCTCCCAAAGCAAAATAAGCCTCTGCCACCGTTTCCTCCCCAAATCCCTCCCATTTGTTCATTCATCAAATTTTTAACCTGCACAGATCACCAATGAAGAGTCAGAGGATGATCTAGTATCCAAGGAGGAGAGAGATGATTCCAGGCTGCAGGAGGAAAATGACACAAGAAGTAAAGAGGTGGGCTCTGGGGCTTTGGAGAGTGACAGGAGAAGCCAAGGAGAAGAGGGAGAGCAAGTGGACCATATGGCAAGTATCTTCCAGGCAGCTGAGAGACTAGAACACAGAACTGTGAGGTGCTGTAATGAACATCACGGGCTTGTCTCTGGAAGAGAGTAGGAGCCATCTTCCTAGAGCTGTCTTGAGTTGTCAGCCTGACAACTACGACTACACACTGCTGTCAAATCAAGGCTTCAGGTCTGACCTGGCTTTAGCACAAATTTGCTGTTTTGGGTCTTGTCTGCTTGTGTAGTCTTTTTCTGTATTCCTGAAGATGATCAGTTTCTCTTCTGTTTGTTTTATATTTCATGCAGTAAATTGATCTGTACCACAAATATGTAATAAACCTGAATTTCAGTTTAAAAGTGAAAACACAGATCTGACACCTTTTGAATCAGATGAGAAAATTTTTTCGATAGCAAGTGCAACTGTGAAAGTCTAAAATTTTAAAAATTCGATATAGATATATTTCAATTTTCCTTTATTTGTTTAAAGTTGTCTGATTCAATCCTGCGATATATATGTCTTACTAGTTACATTTGCTTTTTGTTTTTAAAAGCCTATTTCAAGTACCAAGTCGCGGAAGAAAAAGAAGAAAAGAAAAAATAAGAAGAATGCATCGGGCGATATTACGGTAAATTTGAACTTGGTTTGGGGCTTCTTGCACCAGAAGCCAGGTGCCATGAATGTAGGAAGGGACAGGGCTGGAAAAGTCCCACTCACCTGATCACCTGGCTTCCAGGATTTTCAAATGCAGGAGGAACCCTGTATCCGCAGGGGATTGGTTCCAAGCTTCTCCTCACAGATGCCGAAAAACATGGATTATAGCAAACGCTATACATACCATGGTCTCTGGCTCGCTCTAGCGGCCAGTTCTAATAGCTTCCTATATATGCTTTCGGGAATTTTTCTTTTAATGTTTTTAATATTTTCTGACTACGGATAAGTGAATCAGCAGATACTGATCCTGTGGATACAAGGGTTCCTACTGTAGTCATTCATGCTTGTGAAGTTTCACATCTTCAAAACAGGATGCCTGTGACATGGAAATAGACCCGTATAATGGAAGAAGCCAAGGGAAGCGTTGGGAGAGTGATGAGGCTGGTCCAAGGAAGTATTGGTGACGTGGGTACTGGCAAAGTATAATTAACCTCTCTGGGTATGGAAAGAGGGATTTGTGCCAGTGAGAGCTCCTTTAGCGGTGGTTGAGTCCAAGAAAGGATGAAGCTCTTTTTTTGTTGTTGCTACATTCAGTGTTTCTTTCCAGCACCCAGGAGAGGATGATAATACAGAAGACATTGAAAGCATCCTGGTCAGGATTCAGAACTCCAACGGTCCATCATGTCAAAATGAGAGCAGAATATTCACAGACAGCCGTCCGCTGCTGTACATAGAGCACAGGTGAGAGGCTGACTCTTTCAACAGCAGCTTGACAAACTTAGGGTCCTTGTTACTTGTTCCTGGAGCTAGTGATTGAGGCAGGTCCTTGGCTTGTGGGAAGCAATCAGAATTCTTGCCCCCAAATGCTTTCACTTTTGAGCCCTGGTGGGGAGCCTGTGGCTTCATCAGATGGCGTTGGACTCGGACTGTGGCAGCATGGCAGTGGATCAGGGAGGGTGCAAGCTGTTCCCCCAACATTTGAAGGATCCAGCACACACACCCTGGCCCCACCGAGAGAGTGTTGTTGACACATGCCCTGCATCTGTCACATTTCACCACCATCCACGGGCCTTGCATGATTCCCAATGCAGCCATTCTGTCTAGTCATGTCTGCATCTGTATGTTGGCATTGTGTTCCGCCATTGGCACAGTAGCTCAGAGTGGTATAATTATACCAGATGGGGGGGGGGGTTATAAATCAAATAAATAAATAAATAAATAAATTGTGTTCCGCCGTTGGCACAGTGACGATTCTGAATTGCTGAACCTGTTTCTTTTGCTACTAGTAGCCGTATAGATAGAAAAATTCAGGAGGAGCCAGTGTTTCATGTGACTCGTAAGGCAGCATGCTCTTCAGAAAAGTTTTGAGTCCCATTTTTTGCTCTACTGCTTTGTGGCTCAAATTGTACCTCACCGGGGGGATATCTGTGGCATCAAAGACTGGGAAATTGAGGATGGCAGGGGGGCAGTTTCATTGGGTGCGTAGAGAGACCCGGCGTTGCTCCATCCCTGGTGAGGCCACGCCTTCCTCTGCGGTGCCCTCAGGGTCCAGAAACCTCACCAAATGCACGCTCTGTGCCAGCAGCCCATTTGGGAATGTTGGCATCGTGGCTGTTGGGGAATGCTTCATGGGCCAGCACTGAATGGACGCAAGGAGTCAGGGCCTTTTCATTCTATAATTCTGTATCTTCTCAGGCGGGATATGTGGCGTTTCCCCTCTGTTGTCCTTCTGCCAGCAGGCCAATGTTGTTTTTATTTAGATGGGCTCTTGTCTGGCCGTTCCTGTTTCAACGAGGAAAGGATGGGAATCTGATTAATGTTCTGCTTTTTAGTTGTTTTTTGTTTCATCGCTTCTTACCCGGCAGGTGGTGACTTCTAATTGTTTTCTGAGGTTGCCGTCATTTTGTGTTTCTTTACCTGTAGCTGTTCCTCCTTTGTTTACTCTCACAAGTGATAACACATGAGATTTATTGCACAGTTTGTCCAAGAGGGGGCAGAGCGGACATTTTCTCTTTCTCTCTAGCATATTGAGTGGCAGGATTGAGGGAAATCCTTGGATCTGATCTCTCAGGCAGAGTAAAAGCCCGGAGCCCTTGTTCAGTTCTGCCCCTTTCAATAGAAGATGTGAAGTCGGTTATAGCCTTGTAAACACTCAGGGACGGTAAAGGTTGTCTACCCACCGCTTTCCTGGGCCACTCCGGTAGTAGGAATGAGAGAAGGCAGAACCACAGGTAGAAATGCAGGAATTGTAAAAACATCCCTTTGGCAAAGGTGTCTCTGAGCATGGCCTTCAGGGAGAGATGCAGCGAACAGACTGCTGCAATGTTTCCAACTTTTCTGCTTCTTTCTGACAGCCCTGGGGTTGGTGCCTCTCGTGTCTCCTTCAAATTGGTGCTGGAACATTGCTGATAATAACCGTTGCAACGGGTTAAAAAAGTTTATGAACTGCTGTTCCTCCTTAGGAACCACAAGGTGGTGTTTGGAAAACATGGTTTTAAGTTGTTTTTTAAATACACTACATAATCAAAGCAAAAACCAAACCATTAGGAATAGTCAGAGTTGCTGAGAAGCAGAGGATAAATTAAGGCAAGCCACCGACTCTGTATTCTTCTTTTTTACTTCCTCGGCCCCCATCTCTCCTCCCTTTTCCTCTCTTATCCAAATCTAGACGGTGAGTGCACGGCACAGGGATCTGGCCTCCATTTCTTTTGTCAGCCACATTCATGACACTGCAAATTGTAAATGGAAATAAATAAGTAATAAGATGGGTTTGAATTTTCCAGGAACCTGAATCCAGAAACTGAGCTGAAGAGATATTTTGGGGCCCGAGCTGTTCTTGGTGATCAGAGGTGAGCTTCAGCTTTGAACGGGAGGAACACAGGCGGGGTTCCTGTGGGAAATGGAAGTATCTTGTCGTAGGTCTGTGAAATGTGCTTCAAGTGCATGTTTTTCTGGAATCTTAATCATTTAGAGCGAGGAGCCGCGGTTCCAGTTTCAGAGCTGTCTCTGAGGCGAGGATGTTACAGTTTGCTCAGAAGTCACTGAGTGTAAAAAGGAGGAAAGGAAAACCCTCCTTCCATAACAAAAGCCCTAGTGTCTCCCTAGAAGTAGGGTCTTGTTCAACACTTCGTTTTCATCTCACCAGTTTCCCAAGTGCGAGAGGATGGGAGGTGGATTCATATTTGTAGGTCACTCAGATGTGGTTGGCATGAGGAGAAAACAGGGGCTTTGAACTAGAACTGGGAAGCTGTTCCAAGGCCAGCATCCTGCTCAGCCTGTTTCCGTCAAGGGCTGAAGGCAGAGAATTGCAACAGCACGAGAAAGCAGGGACAGGTTTTTGTGGGTGGCAAAGCTGGTAACTCACCAGCATTCTGCTGCCCTGAGGAGTCGTCCTGTCGCTTCCCCTGCCCACATGCCAGGTCTTCACCTCCATTTGTGGAACCCCTACGTGGGCCTGTATTTCATGCAAGCAATCGGACGCTTGTGGACTCTGTTCTTAAAATATATTTCTTGCAAATACTTTTTGGTTAATGAGGTTTGCCTTAGACTCTCCCGGTGAGCTGGGTCACTGGCTGTGCCTGTTGAGAGAGATTCTCGAAAATTGTAACGCAGATCAGTGACCCTTCCAAGTGTTGATTTCTTCTCTAGATGTTGACACAGGGAGTTTGTAGGCGTTTCTGTTTTTCTGCTGTGGGCAGAGCTGTGGCAAAACACAGCAAAGGACAGAGCGGTCTCTTCCAAAGGAGAGGGTTTGTTTTCTGTTGGGGTGTTTCTCGGTTCTGAAAAGCCACCTAAGCCGTTGTGTCTATATACAGGCAATCCCTGGAAGAAGCCCAGAAAGGATAGCTCTGGGCTTGGTTCTCGGCTAGCCAGCCTTAAGTACAAAGGCTCAGAGGCCCATCTGAAGGATGAGAAGTCTGGATTCTGAATGCAGCCCTTAAGCTGTTCTTGCTCCTAAGGGCTTCGTGATAGTCGTTAGCCTTGTACTTATTCTCAAGGCTGCTTGTGGTGCTGAGTAACGTTTTTCTTCCGCAGGCCACGGCAGAGGCAGCGCCAGTATGTCCGCAGCACGTGGCTGGCGGTGCCCAAGAACACTTGGCCACGGCACAGCAAAACAGGTGAGTCGTCCTTCCTGTTCCCCGGGGCGAGTCACGGCCCTCGGCTGGCCTCTGGTTCCAAGCGAGAAGACCCCGGCCGGTTGTCCGTTCTGTCAGCTCGGCCGTTCCTTTGAGATGTGAAGAACGGAACGGTGGGTCCCCAGATGGCGAGGCAGGCCCGGCGTGGTGGTGGTGATGGCTGCTTCTTCGGTCTTTCTCTCTCCCCAAGAAGAAGACCGTGATGTTAGCCCGGCCACCCACCCCCCAGTCCTCAGTCTGCCAGCTGCCTTTTGGACCTGCTCATGTTTCCTGACCCTTTCAACAGGTAGCCCCCCCCCAAAAAAATAGAGTGCAGGAGAGCACGAGGAGAAAACAAGGCCCTAGGAAGCAGTACTCTTGGGGGACGAGGGAGGGAGGGGAAAGGACCTTGGCTAGAAAGCACAAATTATGCATGAGGCGGCCAGACTGGTCCAGCCAGCCTGGATCAGTTAGGACAGGATGGTGGCGGTATAAATGATGTCTTTTCCAAGCTTTGTTTCAAAACTGCGGCTGGGCAAAGGAGTTGGATTGGGCCCCTTTTGGGTCTGAACAGCCCTCTTTCCTTGGTTCCAGGTCTCTCCATGGCACTGCTGGACTCCAAGCGGGGGGTGCAACATTTTGCCTTCGAGCACCATCGCGACTACCAGCAAGTGCAGTTCAAGTTCCTGGATGCGGTGGAATCCATGGACCCAAACAATCTTGTGGTAGGTTTCCAGCTGGGCACGTTCTGGCTGCTGCTGCTACTGCTGCCACCACAACCCCAGTGTGACGGTTGGAACCCACCAACCCTCATGGCCGTCCCTTTCACTCAGGTTAGGAACCAGGGAGGCGCCCGGCCTTCTGTCTGAGTGAGGCCCTTGGCCCCTCTGGCCCAGTTCCTCGCCGAAAGAAAGGACTGCTCTGGGGAGTCGCCTGGACCTCCCCATCTGGGTGTAAACTCAGAGGGTGCCGACCAGTCACTTATTCTCAGACTGGGAGGAGTTAACAGGTTGGGTCCCACAAGGCTCCGTGGTACCTGGGCCCCATCTTCTTCAACATTTTTATAAATGACTTGGGTAAGCAGGGAAGGCTTATCCTATTTGTGGATGACACGGAATAGGGTAGGATAGCTCAGGCCCTTGGCCCCTCTGGCCCAGTTCCTCACCAAAAGAAAGGACTGCTCTTGGGAGTCGCCTGGACCTCCCCATCTGCGTGTAAACTCAGAGGGTGCCGACCAGTCACTTATTCTCAGACTGGGAGGAGTTAACAGGTTGGGTCCCACAAGGCTCCGTGGTACCTGGGCCCCATCTTCTTCAACATTTTTATAAATGACTTGGGTAAGCAGGGAAGGCTTATCCTATTTGTGGATGACACGGAATAGGGTAGGATAGCTCATGCCCTGGAAGACAGAAACAAAATTCAAAGAGATCTCGATAGACAGGAGCACTGGGCTGAAGACAGCAGGATGACATTTAGCAGGGATAAGCATAAATTTCGCACCTCATTTGGGATGGGGGAACCAAACACACAAGTTACAAGATGGGGGTAATTGGCTCAATAATACTACAAGCTGGGAAGGATCTAGGAACTGCTGTAGATCATCAGCAGAATATGAGCCAACCGTGCAATGTGGCTGCAAAAAAGGCTAATGCGATTTTGGGATGCATTAAGAGAAATGTAGTCTCCAAATCTCGTGAGGTAGGAGTTCCCCTCTATTCAGCACAGGTTAGGCCTCACCTAGAGTTTTGTGTCCAGTTCTGGACACCACATTTGACGAAGGATGCCAACAGACTGGAGCAGTTTCAGCGGAGCGCAACAAGGATGATCAGAGACTAGAAACTAAGCCCTAGGAGGAAAGATGAAAAGAACTGGTTAGCCTTAAGAAAAGATGACTGAGGGGAGATAAGAGAGCACTTTTCGAATACATGAAAGATCACCTAGAGTTTTGTGTCCAGTTCTGGACACCACATTTGACGAAGGATGCCAACAGACTGGAGCAGTTTCAGCGGAGCGCAACAAGGATGATCAGAGACTAGAAACTAAGCCCTAGGAGGAAAGATGAAAAGAACTGGTTAGCCTTAAGAAAAGATGACTGAGGGGAGATAAGAGAGCACTTTTCAAATACATGAAAGGTAATACAGAGAAAGTACACAATCTGTTCTCGATCATCCCAGAGGGCAAAACAGGTTAAAATGAGCTCAAGTGACAGGAAACCAGATTTTGGCTGAATATTAGGATAAATTTTACTAACTGTTAGAGCAGTTATTAACCATGGAGCCCATGGCCTCAAGACATGGTGAGCGTTCCAGTGCTGGAGGCTTTCAAGGGAAAATTGAACAGCCATCGGTTAGATCTGCTTTGATTTGGATTCCTGCCTTGAGCAGGGGTTGGATTCGATGGCTTGAAAGGCCCCTTCCGGCTCCGTTTTTCTAGAATTCTGTGGTTCTGTGATAATCATCCTGCGTGCTTACTCATCTTCAGGTGTGATCTAGATTGACAGGTCCTTGCCAGAGGAGTTCTCTAAAATCTAGCATTACCGGCCACACGGCTTCTGCATCTGTTTGTGTTACTGTCGCTGTCTGCATGCATACGTAACGTTGATTTTGTAACACAACAAATCCCCCAGGATAAGATCAAACGGGCGGCGAGAGCTCCAGTTCCTTGTGATTAATGAAGTGAGTCTTTCCATATGTCAGCGCATGATGCAGGAGGAGTTCGCATTTCATTTGAGTTTACAAAGAGGGTTTTTGTGTCTTCCAAGATTTTCCCAACTACCTGCCAATGCTTTTGTCCCCACCCGTGTTTTCATCTTGTGTTGTTTTGGAAGCTGTCGATATCACTACCATCACAATGTCCTGAGACAATGAGTTCCGTGGGCTTGACTTCCATGGCCTTCTCCCCCCCCCCGGCCCTCCCAAACACCCGGGGGTCTCTCTTGGTTCTCACTAGTTGCAGAGAGCCTTGGCTGCTTCCGTGGAGGAGGAGAAGCACCTGGTTCTGTGTCGCTCTACAGAGTGCGTTACCCCAGCGTGGCGTAGAGGTTATAAGAGCTGTAAAGTGTCCTGTTCCCAAGGAGTCCCTTTTACAAGAGCTGGCCCAGAAGAGGGGGGGCTCTAGAAGAGGAGGCACCGCCGGCGTGTTGACTTTCCCTTCGGCTGGGAACGGAGGGCTGGCTGGGGTAAAAGCACTGTGTGGCTCTTCATAGACAAAAGGCAGTGGTGCTATTTATAGATCTTTTGCCAGCTTTGAAGGAGCAGATGCCTGATTCTTTTTGGTACTTAGCAGAACAGACCCCGCATTGAGGCTTTTATTGAGCACGTCCAAAGGGTTTAAACTGGGCAACAACATTGATGGCACACACTAGACAGGCAGAAGCCCAAATCGTCCTTAACCTAATATTAGTATAATCGAGACATTGAGTTTGGGAAGCCCCCAACCCGCCCACTGCAAATTCCCCCTCCCCTCCCCTTTTCTAACAAGGGCCAACACACACAGCCCTTTGAAACTGCTGGACGGATAGAGCAGCCTTTGTCTGAGGACAACTCATGCTTTCCCCAGCCTCACTTGTTTGCTGCGCAAGGGCCAGAAAAATAGGAAAGAGCCGTTCAGAGCGTCCGCCTGGCCCACGGAGGCTATGCACGCAGCAGTAGGAACGTCGGCTTTGACGATTCGGGCCAGAGTTGGACCCACAGTCTCTTGATTTCACCCTTGGGTGGCCAGGCCAATGCCTCGGGGGAATCTCACTCCTGGAGTGCTCGGGAAGGGGCCTGGACTAAGTCCCCACAGAGCTAGCAATGGTGCAAGTGTGTCCAACACCGTTTGGAGGGGTGTGAACCCCCCCCGCCCTTTAGGTGTGCAGAACCCCAAAGTTCTGCCTGCCAATGCCCCCCTTGGTCCTGCCCCACACCTCACTCCTTTGGCTTCCTTTGGCTTCTGGTTATAAGGTCATTTCTGGTCCGGGATCTAGCAGAGGCGTTGCGGATTTCCACTTTTGGAGGACAGCTGCAGCTGTAGTTCAGAAGTGCACATCTGCACACCTGTTGTGGGCTGTAGCTCCCCCCCCCCGCGCGCATTGCCGCCTTCCATTGAGCACCTCCCATCCACAGTCTTTGGAAACGGAACTGCTGCTCTATTGCTTTCCCTCTTTCAGAGCTGAAGAGGGTGCTTTGGACATCCAGGGGTTTAGTGCTCTGCTACTTAATCTTGCTGGTCACATGAGAAGAGGCATAAGCAAGGGGTCTGGGTGGATGGTGGAATGGGCAGGAGCCCCTGGGTCCGCATGTGTTATAGTCCTTTTGGTCTCTTGCTGAGCCCAGCAGCCTTGTGTTTCCTTCTGCCTGGAAGGAGCAGCTGGAGGCAGTGGGTCACTGCCAGGAGTGGGTATGTTCACATCCTTCCAGCAGCAAATAGCAGCAACTGGGTTCCCGTGCTCTTTACATTGCCTAAGTTTTGATGCCCCAGGTCAAAGCAGATATATTTATAGCCAGTTTTTTGTTTTGTTTTTTAAAGGGAAAAGCAAAGTGGATAGCTTCAGTCTAAAACAAAGGCTTCTATTTATGACTCAGGTGTTACGTAGCTTGTTGATAAATACGGTGTTGTTTTCTTCTGTGCAGCCATAAAATATGAATGTAGGGGACCAGCCCTGCGGCTGTTTTCTCCCGAGTCGAGTCAAAGGGCTTGCCAGCACAGTGATCAGGGGGATGTTTGTAAGCAGGGTTAGTTATGCAAAAGCACAGGGAAATTAGATTCCATCTCTGAATACATGGATTTTATTTTATTTTTTTAAAAAAATCAGAAAGAACTGTTCACATTGCATCGCATTGACTGAACCTAGAATTGTGCAGATTTGGAATGTAGGGAGAACAGCAGAATTTGGGGACAGGAAATACCACGAGAGGGGAAATGGAGGCCAGTGAAAGTGTGTCGGAGAAGACGTCTGGGCAGGAACCCACAAGGAGGGTGGTAGCTGAAGGTCAGGCCTGAACCTCAAAGGCAAGAATAAGCTCTGAGTTGCCTCCGTCTCCCTTTCGTGAGCCTCCTGGATTCTCTCTTTCCCTCTCCTGCCCTCCCCAACTACAAAAGGCAGAATGTGTTCAGAGTGGAATAAAAAGCTGACGGAAAGCTAAAACCCTTCCGGTGCCACCTTCTGCCTGGTGAAATGGGGGTGGGGTGGTGGGGTGGGGGTGTCGCAGAATGCTCCTGCTGTTGTCTAGGTCGGTGAGAAAGCAGCAAAGAAGGTGCGGCTTGACCCCTTGCCATGGGGTAACCCCTTGGCCGTCTCCCTGCCCTCTGGCCGGTTCTGGGGATTGCTCCCTGCTGGTTCCCGATGGATCCTCCTGCTTTTTAGAGTATTGTTCATGTCTGCTCAGACCTGCTGAGATCTTTGGGGGAGCTACGTTTCCAAACCAATACCCCACACCCTACTCCCGGCTTTGTCTCTCCCCGAACAGCTTCTGCTCCAGATGAATCCTTCCCACGTGGACTCGCTCCTGCAGCTCAGCGATGTGTGTCGGATGCAGGAGGACCAGGAGATGGCCAGAGACCTCATCGGTAAGACTTGCCAGGCCACCGGGTGAGACGGCTTGGCAAGGGCATCCTGGAGAGAGGAGAGTTCAGCTTTCCTCTGCAGAGGGCCTGCACTTTCCTTTCTTTAAGGTTACCCACTTCTAGGTTATCTCAGCCATTGGTTCTAACCAGGCCTTAGTCCTGGTGCATAAAACTGAGTCAAGCAGACCTCAGTTGGCCAAAACGTCCTGGGCGTGCTTGGGTTTCCTGTCTCACCATCAGTGTAGCACGAGGAGAACCCAAGGGTGCCCTCTGGACACATTGTCTCACGTGCGTAGCTTGCCTCCCACTGGTGTCCAGAGCAGGGGGAATTTGTGAGGTTCCCACAAGAAAGGCTTTCCAAGCGCTTAGAGTAAGGAGTCCCTCTCACCCCTTCGGGAGAGCCGGCACGAATCGGGGCCTTCTCAGCCATGGCACTTTGTCCTTGGAGCTGCATGGTAGCTGAAGACCTCCCCCCCCCCGGTTCTTGGGTGTTCAGAGTCTTGGGTTTGATTAAGAAGTAATGGTGGGCCATGTGTTTACAGTGGAATAATTGTTATGCCAGGGAGTCCCGCCTCCTGACCTACAGGAGAGAAAGGCTCCGATTTTCTGCAGAGGGGTAGACTGGTCAGCTGGTGCTTTGGCTATAGTGTTTCCTTACGGAAGGAGTGGGAAATCTCCAGACTTGAGGTTGAAATCCTGGCTCTCCCAGAGTTTACCGGTAGTGGTGGGGTGACTCCTTCCCATGGCACTACTCTTTGGGGGATTTCCTCATTTTCAAATGGGGTCACACACACACACCCAATTTCTGAAAGGCTGGAATCCTCCAAAGACTTACTCAGTGGTCAGTAAAAGCATTCAGCTCTGCCAAACTGGTATTTTGCTTCCTGCCCTTGAGCCTTTGGGGACCCCCCCCCCCCCCTCTTGGAATGAGCTTGGTGAAAGCTGTGCTTCCTGCCATCCTTTCAGTTCCCTTCTTCTTGCTGACCATCAGCTGGCAACCTTCACATGGGGGTATCTTTCCAGCCACAGCCGCTGGCCACACAAAGGCCATGAACGTGGCTGTTGTTTTCTTAAGCCCCCCCCTTTTTTTCCCCCAACTTGGTTTCAGGCGGTGTGTTGTGCATGTGAAGTCC